ATTTGACACAGGGTGTGAGACCACAAGAGGAGTCAGGGGTATCTCTAAGGTGTCTGCCCTGAGCAGCTGGAAGGACATTCATCAAGGTGGGGAAGATTGTGGGTGGAACAGGTTTGTTTGAGATGTGTTAAGTTTCAGATATACATTAAACACCATGAGGAGATGTAGGCAGTGTTATGGGTTTTCAATGTATCAATTTGGTTAGGCTAAACTATGAGGACAAAAGGGAGGGCAATAGCCATTTTGTGGCATACACACCCTCACAATTATTCAATCAAATACAAATCTGGGTGTTTTCAAAGACTCCTTCCTCCATAAAAAAATATTAAAATTGTATTTTATGACTGTTTGATATATATCATGATATACATTTATAATATATAATAGCAATTATAATTATATTGTTGTTGTTCTTATGTGCCGTTGAGTCAGCCCCGACTCATAGCAACCCCTCCTTGGGTTTCCGAGACAGTATCACTACGGAATTATAAAATTTATTACATATACATTATATGCCAAAAAAGACCTCTGGAGTGCAATGGTTAAGTGCTCAACTGCTAACCTAGAGAACATTAAGGGGCAGTTTTATTCTGTCATATAAGGTCGCCACAAGTCAGAATCGACTTGACAGCACAAAACAACACCACTATGTCCACCACCTATCTGACAGCTTCTTTGACCTAAAAGTTCATTTTTTCTTCTGACTTTAAAATATTTTTTCTTCTAGTTAAAACATTTTCATGGGCCCCTAAAAGTGTCATGGACTTAGGCACTCTCTCCACTGTCCCAATGGAGAAATCAGACCTGACCTGACTATAAGCAACCTGTGGGCAAAGGCTTAATTTTGTTTACCCTGTACCTGGAAAAGATTAACACATAGAAAACTCTCAATAATGTTTGCTTTTTTGAATGATAAATTCCCAAGGAGAAAGAGCATTTATATCAATTATTTCTTCATAATGTTTGTACTCTGAAGAAATCATCACTACATGAGTAACAGAGCCAAAGACTTACCTTCTCTTCAGTTTCAGCCTCATACCTTCCACAAGGTTGTTGGGTAGTATCTGGGCCCTTGAATGTCTGTATTCTTAGAAGAAGCTGGCGCTGAGCATACACCAGTAGTGGTGTCACTTGTTCTGTATATCTCTCACTAGACAGGGGTAAAGAATACATTAAAAACCAAACGTTAATTTATAACACATCTTTTTCAGGGAAGCCTGTTACTTTAAATTGCCCTTACATCAGTACTTACTGTGAAACTGCATTGAACCGAATGGCAAGTGATACTAATGTTTCCCATTTCTCCACTTGATATAAAAGTTCCAGAGACTTTAATACAAAATCATGGATCCATTTCAAATCAACGACATTCACATCATCTAAAGGATGCTCAAAAGTAAGGCTAGAGCCACCATTATCAGTTTTAATATTTCCATAACAACTCGGAACACTGAATTCTCCTTTGTCTTCAATAATCTGGAAACAGCGTATTGAACAAAAATTTGTACAATTTCAAATTTTACCACACATTTTTTTAAAAAAACTGTATGAAGTGAAACTATAACATGCAAAGAAACTGGAAACAAAAGAAAAATTTTAAATATGTTTATTGTGCAAATAAAATCTTGATAATTTGAGGCAGTTCTTTGTGATAAAATTTCTGAGGTAATGAAAATGTGCTATTTCTATCTGTGTTGTCCGATATGGTAGCCACTAGCCACATGTGCCTACTGAGTACTTGGAATGTGGCTAGTGCAATGGAATTTCTATTTTAATTTTAAAGTTAAATACCCACATATTAGAGGTTAT